TGTCCAATATCTGTGGACTGAGAAGCGTATGTGTGAGCTGGAAGAAAAACGGAAACATCAACATCTTCATGTTCAATCTCGGGGTGGCGGACCTGCTGTATCTGTTTACCCTGCCGTTCCTCGTCTACTATTACGCGCGTGAGAGTGACTGGCAGTTTGGCCAGCCTTTCTGCAAGGTGACGCGCTTCTGCTTCAACCTCAACCTTTATGGCAGCATCGGCTTCCTTACCTGCATAAGCATCTATAGGTACCTGGGCATTGTGCACCCGATGAAAGTGATGGGGAAAATCACCAGTCGCCACTCTCTGGCCATAAGCGCTCTGGTCTGGGTTTTGGTCATTATTCAAATTACTCCTGATATATTCTTTGACAAGAATGATGAAAAAAAACCAAACTCGTGTTTTGACACCACCTCAACCAACCTGACCAGATACTACCTGCCATACTGCATCAGCTGGACGGTCACCGGGTTTTTCCTGCCTTTGGTCATCATTTTGGGCTGTTATGGACACATAGTGGTGGTTCTGGCAAAGAACGCCAATGTCAACCCACTGCTGAAGCAGCGGTGTTTGAAACTGGTCGTGATTCTGGTCATACTTTTCTCCGTCTGTTTCATTCCCTACCATATATTTCGAAATTTAAATCTCACTACCAGGATTTTTAAACAAGATGGGCTTTGTCACCACCTCTTCGACGACATCTACATTGCACACCAGGTCGGCAGATTCCTGGCTTGTCTAAACAGCGCGATAAACCCGCTGATTTATATAGTAGGAAATGATGATTTCCTGACTAAGTTTCAAGACTTCAGTAATCGGACCAGGATGTCTCTTGCCGGACTCAAAAGCGCAATTATTTACCGCAAACCCATAGAAGCGGACGTGGATTTACCCGCAGACACGTGCACCAGTTTCGACAAGAGGAGTGGATAGGGCGCAGAATCAGTTTACGCGAGTTGCTCGTCTATACATGTCACGCACCGCCAGCACTTCCACAGATCCGTCAACAAAGTACGTGACTGCGACTGATGATTGTGCTTGGGAGGACTGGCGAGGGGTAGGTCACTGAGGTGTCAGTGCACAGAGAAAGTCAAATGTCCGGATGGTTCCCTGGATGTTACCAAAAAGACTTAAAGCTGAAGCTCCAGCTCATATAGCAGAAAGCATGCTGTTGACACTTATTTGTGTTATGTGCTACACTGCCCTACCTTTGGACTGTTAGATGAAGCTTTGTTATACTTCACCATGAGTTGTATTTTTCACCTCAACATGTAACCGACTCAGACTCAAACCATAAAAAGGATTTTAACAGCACTTGTTTTAGGAGTCTGGCACAGCCTACTTACTGCCGTTTGTTTAGATAAAACGGACAAAATACAGCAACAGCTATGTATGAAACTGGAGTGGACAGTCTGAAGTAGAAATACCACTAAAACTTTTCAAGTGCTCTCTTATTTCTTCTTCTTTTTCCTTTAACCTAAATAAAAAAGTAATATCATCAAATGAATCCGCGTGTCACAAAGGTGAAATAATCAAATTATATCTCATACAGATGGGTAGCAAAGGCGATGCACATTATGCGGAACCCTCACGCGGTTCCATTGAAGTATGCGTGTCAAACACGCACCGTGGGAATAAAAGTTGCTGGGTTTCAGTCTGGTCCACTGTGTTGCTTTGCAAAATTTGAAAATCACAGCGAACAATTAATAATGAATGTACTGCCATCTCTGCTATGGGGAAACCACCATTACACAGGAATAAGAATACAGGCAAATATAGGCTACATGGGCTACAGTCAAGTATTTTTATACTGAAAAACGCGAAACTGTCTGGTTATTACATTTGCAAAAGTCTAACTTGTAGACCCCCCCACCCCCACCCCCCACCCCAATTCTACAGACACAATAGCATTATTATTATTTTTTTATTTTGTTTTTAAAGACGCACTTTAAACACTAGTCCTCTGTTTTTCAAATGGTTGCTTTATTAAAATCAGGATTTTGATCATCTTTACAATAAAAGAAAGTGTGACATGGTCTGGTTTTTGTTGGGTCCTTTTGGGACTTTCCTGGTTATTCTGAGGTTATTGTATTACAAGTTTTTAGTTTACTTTTCATTGTTATTCTTGAGCTTTAGTTTTGATTTATTATTATGTTTCTAGGACTATTCTAGTCTGGTGTTTTAGAAATATAATAATGGATTCTTTGTGTGTTAGTTGAACGTAGCCTCTCCTGTGCTTTTTCTATGTTTAATTAATTGTCCATGTCTTATCTTTAAATCTAGTTAGCAGGGCTGTTTTAAGGTTTGGGGCCCAGATAAGAAAAAAAAATCCCTTTTGGCCCGACCACTTTACTATTGCAAACCATGCCAGCCCTAAAGCTGTTAACACTTTGCAGACAAGGATCAATATTCTGTTTAAATAGATATTTTTATTTAATGCATGACTGATGAGATGTGTGCAAGTAATTTTTTACATTTTAATATTTTTATTGGTAACATTACATTAAAAATATTTATTTATTCATTTATTTATTTTACAGTGATTGGTACTTTACACAAAATATAACTATAAAATATAAATACAAATATATGTTAACTTTCTGGATGGAAGACTATTTAAATTCTTATCTATAAAATGGTGAAAGTATTTTTTTATAATATTAGGTATTGGGAAAACATCACTTAAATAATCCTTTGGGTAATAATTAAACAAAGTATAGCCAAACAAAATAAGTTTAAATGTGATTTTGCAGCAGTCACAGGCAGTGTGCAAAACATATGCAGAGCAATGCACACTCGTCCAAAAATACGCTTTATGTGATGTTATAATGATAATGGATTATTAATTAAATTAATCAAATTAAAATATTAATAGTGCATGGGGGGGAAAGTCCCAAATGGCATCCTGCAATTAGACATGTTTTGTTTCGTTTTTTTACTTAAAATAACTTACCTCATTCTTCACACATCAGTGGGGCTGGTTCGGTGTCAGGAGTGTGGGTGTGAGGATACAACAGCCTGAGCCAGAGGTTTGATCTGTTTGGCCTCGCAGCAGGTAGCAGATAAGTGATTTAGTACATTGGTATGCCTGCACCAATTATGTGTTGGCTAAAATAACTCAAACACGTTATTTTTGTTAGAAATTAAATATATTAGCTAATTAAGTCAAACAGTGTCTGTGGACTGTATTTGTTTCTTTTCACCCTGTCTCTTTTCTTTTTTTAAAATACAGACTTCACTTTTAACTGAGCCATCCTAACGTCTTACTGCTCGGCATCAGCTAGGAGCAAGTGCACCTGGACCAAGCCAAACTGAAATAAAGAGGGTGGAGGCGAGGTCAGAGGCTGACTGGATATTGTTTGTTTCAAAAGAAAAAAAGAGAAAATGATGGCTAGTTGAGTGTTTTGTAGGACTCCTGTCAGTCATGAGCCCTTAGAATTGTCATCATTTTTCTCCCCCTTACCTTAGTTACTTTTAGTTAAATTTTTTGTGGGTTCTATATTTCTTTCCACACAGAAAGGCCCAGGCATTTTGGTGGATTTGAACTCAGGACCTTGTTACTGTGAGATAATAGTGCTAACCATCATGCTACCAAGCCATCCATACTTAACAAATGTAGGCAACATGATAACAAGGCTTGACACAGAATTTTCTTTACATGTCTGTTCTTGACAGGTTAAGCTACAATAAATAGCAATAAGATAGACGTGGTGTGTGTATGCTTTTCTGCCTCTTATAACTTCAGTGATTTTCCTGTGATTTGAAACATTTTCCTCTTTACCGAACATTACTGGATTTTTAAGCTATTTGCTTTTACAGGTCACAATGTGTATTAATTAAATTTTAAGAAAGTAATTTTTTTTTTTTTAAATGAGCAAACTTCATTTTGAACCGTAAGCATGTTGTATCAACTAAATGGCAATGCTGCGCGCTTCTACAAACACTGGTGAAAAAACAGGTCGCTCAAAGGAGCCAGCATTAAACTTCAAAATGTGCAAAAATGTGACCTGTCCTGGGTTTGTGCTCTTCAGAGTACGCACTTTAGCACATGAGGTTGCCTGTTTGCAGTAAGCTCACTTTCAGTCTTTGCTGGATTGTACTATTTGTACACCAACCATAATTGTTAACCCTGGATCTCCTGTTTGCAGTGCAGCTTTGCCTATTCATCTGTTTTGGCCAACGCTGTAGGAATGGTATTGAAGATGGTTGCCATAAAAATTGAGGCTACAGATCCAGTGTAGCTTCTTTCTTTAGGAAAAATATCTGTATCAATAAATTATTACTAACCTAATGCCAGATGGGATAGTAATTTAAAGTGAGTGAGGATATTGTCTGTATTTACAGTTTTGATAACCACAGTGGTGATACACACTATCTCTGACTGGAGTTTTATAAAAGAGCTCTTTCAAACATTATCAGATCAGGCTGGACTCCATGTGTCAGGTTGAAGTCCATGAATCTTGAGTCATCTTGAGTGCTGTTGTCATCAAAGCATTAGAAGGAAATTGAGATGGGTTACAGGTACACTCTTTAGGTATGCCATTTTAAAAATAGTTTATTTATCGCATGGAAATTTCACTGAGAAGGTCCAAGTTGGAGAAAGGGCCCAGCCAGGAACCTGTTTGCTGTGAGGTGACAGCACTAACCACTGCAACACCCTGACATTTTTAACATGTTCAGCTAAGCGTCTTCAAATTTGTATAATTTGGCAGGAAAGTTTGTATTAAACATAAATGACATTTATCCAGTGGTCTCAATGTATTTTTGATGTCCTTCAGTAAATACCTGTTTCTGAAATGCCTTTCACAAAAGCACCATACATTTCTTTCCAGATGTGGAGCAACTTGGCAGTAAGCCCAGCTGCTAGTTGTGTCATGTGCACATTTTCAGGAAAGGGTGTGCTTATGTAGCCTATAAAAGCTTTCATAGTAACAGCACATTCCTTGCCATGGTTTTCAATGCAAAAGCTCAGTAGAATAAAAAACCCACATTTAACCCACACTCTCTTAAATATAGCACATTTAAGAGAGTCTAAGGAACAATAAGAAAAACAAGTTGCGAAGAAATAAATTAACAAGGTCTGACAGTAAGCATTACATCAGCTGATGTCATCTATTGTAAGTATTCTCTGGAACTGCGACGTTAACAATAACATAGGAAGTTAAGGTCAAGGAACTTTCGTCTGGCTTTCGTATAAGAATTTCACTAAATGACTTCAGATCTGTGACCCATACTCGCATAGCAGCCAGTATGTACATACAAGGCTTGTTAGACGAACCACTTGAGTTTTGGCTGCTATCACACCAGGACTGTTTTATAAACAGGAACATAACACAATGAGGATTTATATTTTCCCAGTATAACATTTTCCTGGTTGACTGAAGTGTACACAGAAGACACAAGTGCCTTGAGATATTTGACTAAAGTTGAAACAAGAATTGTGAACTGCTTCTTGATTCTGCAAAAACAACATGCACAACTTCCTTTCCCACCAGAATATTTTGTAAACACCTCTCTGTAGGAAGTAATATATTGTCTGCTTTATGGCAATAAATCGCTGTAGTATGGAGGATCTTTTTCCTTCTCCCATCTCAAGCATATATTTGAATGGATCTCCCCACTCTGAATCTGAAACTGAATATTATGATGTGGAAAGAAACCAAGAGACAAACATTCCTCTTTCTGAATGTGTACTTTGTGTTCTTTTGGTGTTTGAGAAGGACCCAAACAAACGAATGTTATTACAACAGATAAATATTACCATCTGGCAGATTTTTCCTGGGACATCGTTTCTAATTCTGTAAGCAGAGTCTGGTAAGAAAAACAGAAACCAGCCTGACGGATGTGTCGGAGAAGTTAGAGGTAGCAATGACATGATACAGCTGCAGCCAGAGACCACATGCCACAGGAGCACGTCAGGAGAACGACAAAGG